TTTCTTATATCAATGGTAAACTTTAAATTTATGCAACAAAATTAATTTAATAAAAGTAAATGAAATAAAAATAGCTTAAAAAAATTCCGGTCCCTGAGCTGTTGGCTTGAAGTAACAGCAATTTAGTTGGATAGCACAGCATTAATATCTGAAAATAAACTGCTTTAAAGTCACCATCAAACATAAACTAAATCTGCCATAATGCAGCTACTCACTAGAAACTAATCAGTGAGTAAAACATTTTTTTTTTTACTTTGAATATTTCTGTATTTATTACAGTTTTAGTCAGTCGTACACTTAGTTCTTATCAGTGTTTGAAAGAGGACGTGTTAAAACTCTGTTTAGTCAAAGTTAAACACGAAACATCAAAGTTCATTATAACGTTCATTATAACAAAGTTCACATAAAGCTCATGTGGCCCTCGGTGAAAATGAGTTTGACACCCCTGTTCTAGAGAAACTGAAACTATTTTGTTAAAGCTAAAAGAATCTGAATGCTAGGTAGTAGCTAAAACGTTAATTTAAGAGCTAAAGGTAGCAGAACACCAGCCAGGATCCAAAAGATGCAGAATGCTAGCCAGAAGCTAAAATAAAGTTTTTTAGCAGAAAGCCAAATAAAATTCTAAATTATGGCTAAAAGCAGCAAATKGTAAGTTGTATGTAAGTTAACAGCTACATGCTTGCTAAAAGCTAAAATTGGCATAAGAAATCAAAACTATTTCAAGGCAAATTTCAAAGAGAATGTTTTTTAAGAGTATTTCTTATGCAAGCATTTGTGTATATAAAGTGAATAAAAAAGGATAAAAGTTCTGAAAGTCACTGCACCCATCTCCTGAATGAGTTGATCATTTTGATGTATGAACGGCTAAAATAGGCAGAAGATGAGAAATTGTCTAAAAGAGGCATCACTGAATATGAAATATCAACTAGCATGGTGGTATTAGAACATTTGGGTTGGCTGGACATTAGTTGATTATTAACCCTGTTAATTGAAGATCTGTTTAGTCTTTAGAACTCCTGTAATAATTTTGTCACAGGGGTCCAGTATTGGACTAAATCCGAGCCAAAAACCAAAAGTCCTAGCAAACTTTTGGTTCTCCAGAAGGCTCTTAACAATTAGAAATTGGAATGGTTACAATAGCATGGAGTGAGTGTGTATTTCAGTGTATAATTGTATTTGAAACTGCCCGAAAACCCGAGGAMTGACAAAACCTCCTTTACTGCAGCCCTGGATCTGTTGGACCGCATGTTGACATTTAACCCCAACAAGCGCATCACTGTTGAAGAAGCCTTGAGTCATCGTTACCTGGAGCAGTACTACGATCCTTCAGATGAGGTAAGAACACATTTTAAGAGTTGTTGTTTTTTTTTTCATAACTTTTGGACCCAACTCGACTGAACTGTAGCGTAACAGACAAGTTATATTATTTGTTGAACAAACGCCCAATGTTTTAAAGGTGTACGAACGTCAAGTGGCCTGTTTATTAATATGGCTGTGGGTTGAGTTTTAATCAGACATTGTGCTGTTTGTGGAAGCCTCTTAGCTGTGCAGTTAGCATCACGTTTGCTCGGTAAATCAGCTCATGAAAGAATGTTGACYTTTAATGGTTCCTCAACACTTCAAACTCTTTAACTTAACCATTGTGTTATACTTTATTTGTACTTTATCTGCTCATGTACTTCAGGGTATAGTTCAGGGCTTTTGAAGTGTTCTGTTAAAAAGGGATGTGAACAGTTAATATCTTACCTGCTGTAGATGGAGCTTTAAACGGCAACAGTTTGTAGAAATTAAAGAGGTTAATTCTTTATTAGCCTTTACGTTACTTTGCATATCTTTAGCTGTTGTTGATGGTGTGTGTGTGTGTGTGTGTGTGTGTGTGTGTGTGTGTGTGTGTGTGTGTGTGTGTGTGTGTGTGT